CTTATACACATCTAGATGTGTATACAGGGCCTGCCGTGTGTGCACAGCAGCTCCTTCACCGGGAGGAGGGAGGGGCTGCCACCTGGAGTACGAGGAGGAGGGGGGCATGTGGGGGGGAAGATCATTCTTTGCGTGAGGACGGACAAGCTGATGGCGCCTCTGACACACATTCCACGGACGATAAATTGTAGGGGAAAAAAAAAAGTTTGGCGTAGGTGTGAACGAGCGGTTAGCAAGGGGTGTAGTGAAATGGCGCTGGAATCGATATTCTAAGATTACCAAATATGAGGCAAAAGACCAAGTGGGTGGCTGCAGAATGAAGAGGAGGAGGAGGGGGGGGATCATGCTGTCCGTGAGGACGGACAAGATGATGGCAGCTCTGTGCAGACATTATGAATAAAGTGGACTCAGATTCCGTGAACGATGAATTCTGTAAGGAAAGAAAAAAGAAGTTCGGCGTAGGTATACGCAGGTGTACCTTTCTTGGCCTTTTGGCTAAGATCAAGTGTAGTATCTGTTCTGATCAGTTCAATAATAAAATAAAATAAAAGAAGTTCGCCGTAGGTGTGGACGAGTGGTTAGCAAGGGGTGTAGTGAAATGGTGGTGGCATCGATATTTTAAGGTTGCCGAATATGAGGCAAAAGACCATGTGGGTGGCTGCAGAATGAACTTAAAGCAAACTAGCGATGCTCTTACCCCTGTCGAAATGTACCTAGACTTACAAACAGCTAGGTGCGGAGTCTGTTCAGGGGCGCGTACGACAGTCGGTTGAAGTGGAAATTTGCTGCTTTGCCGAGCGGAGGAAGTCAGGTGAGGAGGTCATGCAGCTAGGGACCGGTGTCACCACCCTTAGGGAAGGTAAGTTGTGCCCCGCGAGAACCCATCCTGTCGTAGGGGACCGCGGGATGTACGCCTGGCGCACTCGGCCGGAGCGGCGAAGGGTGGACGCGGGTTACCGTGTCGTCCCCGAGTTGTTTCTAAAAAGTTGAAAGCCTAAGTTTCTCCTGTGTGATGCGGCCGGGAGGGCCCTCGCTCCTGCGGGGGCCGATGCGCTCGACACCGGGACGAAGGAACGTATGACGAGGGAAACGGAACCGGATGAGGGAGGTAAGACGACGATCGGTGTGAGGCTCGCACTCTTAGGGCATACATACTAAGGTGTCGTGCAACAATAGGTGTGGGGACCACCAACACTATAACTTTCCCGGGAGTGCTTGACCATTTTGGCAGTTGAAATCAGTTGTAAAGAATGCGGACATGGGTATGGTCGATGCGGGTAAATCAGCAGAGGCTCGCTGAAGGTGCTCCCGAATCGTATGTCTGTATTGTACAGCAGCATCACTTTGTCGTCGTGTACATGGGGTTCGACCGCTGACAAGAATACGGTCTGAGGGTGGCCTTTTGAAACTACAGTGAGAGTTGCATGCGCAGTGTTGTACGTGGAGAACCGGAATTACAGCACGTGTGCCTTCTGCCTTTCCCTTGCGATGAGGAGCATTCACGTGCGATTGGCGGAGCAGGTACAATGTGTGCAAGTCCAGCAAAGTGAGGAGAAGTGAATCTTTTCGGTGGTGCTGAAGTTTGTTCGCCAAGTCAAGATGAGGTCGTAGAGAGTAATAATAATAAAGAAAGGTTTGTGGAGGTGGTGACTAAGGCCGTATTCACACTAGGACTTTTTGGTTGGACTGAATCTGGCTGGAATTGTAAGTCACATTCGGGGAAGTCCTAGTGTGAGTATGGTCTACTTGGTACATTACCTGAATTGCTGTTTTGACACAGCGTCCTCGGTTTCCAATTTACTCTTTTTAGCTTGATATCATACAGTTTTGTAATGCTCACAGCTATATAAGACTAGAAGAGGCCGTTCATTCATGTGTATGTTTGTTTGTTTGTGTGTGTGTGTGTGTGTGTGTGTGTGTGTGTGTGTGTGTGTGTGTGTGTGTGTGTGTGTGTTGTGGTGTAGTTTTTTTTGTGTGTGTTATGTTCTGCCCGTCTGTGCGTGTGTGTATGTGTGGTGTGTTCTGTGTGTGTGTGTGTGTGTGTGTGTGTGTGTGTGTGTGTGTGTGTGTGTGTGTTGTGTGTGTGTCTTGTGTTCTGCTTTTTGTTCACACAGAACGCAACACACACACAGCACAACACACAAACACACACACACACACACACACACGAAACAGTCTGGTACACACAGTCATGCTTTTTTTGAGTGCATAGCGAATATAACAACACACACGTGTGTGGGTGTGGAGAATAAAAGGCGAGCAATGTAGGGTGCAATTTGTATGGATGGGAGAAATATGGAGGGTGGTGGCCGGACAAGATGACGCCTAGCCTTCTACGTCGCCAGTCAGATGGCAGTTTTCATTTTCCTGTTGCGTGTCTTTGTGCGGGGGAAAAAAAAAAGAAATACAGGAAGGGAGGATGCTGTAGGACAGGTGAGCTTTGTCACTTTCAACTTGAAAGCCTGAAATTGAGCTTGTCCTTCTTTATTTAATAATTTTACCTAGGCTACCAGAGCGGCCTGGGAGCACTTGCCCGCCCGGGCCAGAAAAGAAATAATAATTAAAAAAACGGTTTTAAAATTTAACCTTAAAATTTTATTTAAAATTTGGTCCGGAATTTCGATTTGACCCTGATTCAAAAGTTGTACAGTTTATTGTTCTGCATAACAGTCTTTTTCAGTTTTTTTTTTTTTTTTTTTTTTTTTTTTTTTTTTTTTTTGCTGGGACCTTCTTTGGCTTGAACAGTGAATTCACATTTCCCAACCGCCCATCTTCATTACCGAGGGTCCGAAAATAATAAAATAATAAAAATACAGTAATCCGTGCAAGTGGGACGTTGCCCCAGCATTCTTCTTATTGTCCTGGAGGGAGATCCCACTACCGATGTATGTGGACGAGTGTTTAAGGTGTGTGACTGTCAGGCAACGTGGATTTGGCAGGAAATCATCGGTAGCCTGTTTTTGCAAATTAAGCCTGGGAAAAGGATGTTTTCTTTTGCTCTCCCATTGGTAGGTTTTCCTTTCGTTTTTGTTGTTGGGGTCCTGTGGCTGTCCCAAACGTGCGTGAAATCACAGCTAAGTTTTTTGGTTCGTGAAATCACACACGTTTCACTCACGGCGAAAGCAAAGACGAATGGCTTCATCGCTGGAAATTGGTTGTGGTCTGGGAGGTGTTTGGGAGGGTTCGATCCCCTCTCCTACAGCAAATGGTCTACGGAGTTACTCTTGCCCTCCTTCGCCAAAGAGAATGTCTGTCAGAACAACCGAACAGCGTGCACTGTGGCCTATTTCAAGGAAACCTCAGACTATTGTCAATGAATATGGTCCGTGTGCCCAGTCACATGCAGTCGTCTTGACTGCCACAGCCATGGTCAGTGAACCATACCCTGACATCTGACACCCCGCCTGGAGCAGACACCATCTGTGAGAAGAGCACTTTCTGTTCCTTTTTCGCAGTTTTTTCTTCATTTGTTTGGTCATCAAATGTTTTTTTGCGTTTATTTTCCCTATTTCACGCTGCCACCGACCAGTCCCCCACCCGTCCCACACCCGTCACACTAATTCACATACATGGCTAGTGGGATCTCCCTCCTGAAAGGAGACTGGCTGAAATTAATAAAATTATTGTGTATTTTCAATTTTGGAACAGGATTTCTATACAAAAAAAAAAAGGAATTTTGAAACCAACTTCCAGGCCATGTGTTAAACCGCTAGTACGCGTCCTCAGCCTTGCAGAGAAAGAGTTTTAGTCAACACAAGGAAAACCTGGAGGTGCTGTGTGGCCACGGGCGCCGTTGAAAAAAAATCCAGGGATCGAAAAAAAGATTGGTGGCCTCCAAAGTGGTGTGGGTTTCATGCTGACGCTCGCGGGCCGATGTGTGGCGTACAGGTGGTTTGAAAGGTGTACTTCTTGCCCTTCTTTTTCTTTTTTTTTTTTTTTCAAAAGAAGTTTGGCGAGCCGGGGGCCAAGGCCAAGTCCCACATGCGCCATTTAACTAGCTCAACGCAACAGTGACACTGTTTTTGCGACTTGAAAACTCAAAACAAAGGCAAAAAAATTAAAAAAAGAGAATCAAATGCTGCTGAAAGCTTGTTCTTCCCCTGTTCCCCCCAAAACAATGAATAACCAAATGCTACTGAATTCATTGTCCGTATTTTCAAGAAAAGTAAAATGGAAAATTCAACAATCCTCAGGAAGGCTCCGCATGCGCTACGCAACATCGGAGACAGGGACTCACTAGAACATGAAATGAACGTAGACAGTACTCCTGGCTTGGTGCATTTGCAGGAACGAGTTTTGGGGCTGCACAGCCAGATACACAGCATGGACACTCTCCGTCAGAGTTTCCTCCCGCAGAATGTCAGAGTGTCCTCCCACAGAAGGTCTCTATTATGGCACAAGCACCGTTGAACCCATACCCCACTTGCCCCACTCCAAGTGGGGTAATATGTAGGTCAACGGAAGATGGGCGGGGTAGGGGGGGTTGTATTCGGGCGGAGGGATTTTTCAGCACCTTTCTTGAACAGAAAAACGAAAACGAATGTCTTTGTATTTTATACACCGAAGAACAACGGCTGGATGTGAAGCTCCCGATGCATGTCAGACATTGTGTGGGGTCACACATGTTGACCTCGTTCAACGTTGAACTTGCTCAACGGTGTATGTGGGACTTGGCCCGGGGGCACCTTTTTTTTTTTTTTTTTTTTTTTTTTTTGGCAATCCCCAGGCACTTTCGTCCAAGAAGGAACTAGGGGAGAAAGAAAAGAAGAAGAAAAAGAAAACAAAGAGACCTCCTCAACGCCACAATAACCACCAGATACAGTGAGGGCGTGCAGCACACAAACAAGGACCCAAAAAAAAAAAAGAAAAAAAAAAGCACTCCCTTATGCTGTGATTGAGGGCGGATACAGGATGCTACAGCATTCAGACAGTTACGTGCCACCCGTGAAATACGCCCTGCCTGGCTGGCAGGGCACTACAACGACATGAAACCAAAACTAAAAAAAAATAAAAAAATAAAATCAAACACATTCCTCAAAGCACTAGCACTGGTGTCACATGCCACAAAACTGAAAAAAAACAACAAAAGTAAACTACAACACGACATAGTGGCCAGATACATTCCTCAAAGCACTGGTGTTGAGTGCCACCCTCGTGAGGAGGGTGTTCCCCGAGTCCGTGGATTCGAAACTCTTGTTTCTTTTTTTTTTTTTTNTTTTTTTTTGGACTTTTCGTTGACTCTGAAAGGTAGTGGTGGTTAAAAAAAGAAAAAAGAAAAAGAATTACTTCATTGCATTGATCTGTGCTGGGGGTGTCTTTCAGGACTCAAAAACTTGGGCCTGTATTTTAACAGTTCATGCCACTTCATGGATGTGCCAACTGACCTCTGTTTTCTGCTTTTGCTTTTTTTTTTTTTTTTTTTTTTTTGATGAGCATGCTGCTTTCAATGGCATTAGTCATGCCTTTGGAACTTTCAAGCAAACTTCTCTGAAACTTCTATAATAGTTTGTCCTGTGTAGTACACAGTAGTTTGTATGTGCTTGCCAGCAGAGGACCCACTTGGATTGAAGGAGAGATCATAGATGGTAGTGTGTGTGGGTAGCTAAGATAGACAGTTGGTTTCTCTTAGCGCATACTCACACTACAAACTTAATTCGTATTTCTGGACGGAATTATGACCTGATACATCCAGGTATGGCTGCTGTAAATGCGGTCAGATACATTTGAGATACTGCCAGTGTGAGTACGCCCGTAATCTGCGGGAGTGAGACCTTGCCCCTACTCTCTAGTAGGCGAGGAGAAAAAGGTGGTGTGACATCGAAAAGGATCTCTGGAGTCTTTTCTTGCCCCTCTTTGTGTCTGCTCTGCTGACTTGTCTGCTTAAGTCAGCGGTACTGTCTTCACCCAAATACAATGTACGGTCATTATAGCTGTATTTGACGCAACTTATAGTCTAGATGCAGCAATAATGACCGTACGTTGTATTCGGGTGAAGACAGTAGGGTGACCACCGCTGGGATAGAGGCCTGGCAAGAGGGCTTTGAAAAAAAAAAGAATTGAAAAAAAAAAAAAAAAAAGGGTCAGGATGAGCCTGTGCTGACACAACTATGGTATCGGTGGTGACCACACGGTAGACGATGTGTCCCGCATTTGACGTCCATTTTTTTTTATTCTTTTTTTGAAACAGCAATTAAAACAGGCGCGCCGCGGCGATGCCGCGGCAGGCGGGGCGCTGGCATGAGAGAGAGAGAGAGAGAGAGAGAGAGAGAGAGAGAGAGAGAGAGAGAGAGAGAGAGAGAGAGTTTTCCAGCCATGCACGCCTAGAGATAGAGAGAGGCTACTCCAATCGATAGGATGAGCAAAATGAGAACGAATCCTCTGCTAGAACATGGAATATACACTGCGACTTCTGAGAGAAAGAGCATTTTGCCATCGATTGCAGAAAGCGCGCAATGTATATTTCCATGTTCTTGA